AGATCAAAAGTCCTCAGCGAGAGAGTATACTTGCACACCACAAAAATCAAAGATTCAAGAGAGGCAAATACAACAACCGTAGATAGTGAGAGCAACTTATGCACACACTCACACAAACTTAGAAAGAGTGAACTGGGGAGAGCGCCAACAAATAGAAACACTAAAGCAAAAATGCAAATAATGAAACTAATGAACACTGCACACAAAGCTTCACAAATTAAAAAAGCAAATTATTAAAAACGCAGTGAACAACGGATCAAACCTTGCACAGGATAATATAGATATTTGCTATATACAACCGAACCGCAATTATGTGAAATTTAATAAAAATAATTAACTAAGAAAACAAGAATAATTGAAGAGCACAATAGTAAACACGTCTGTTAACTCTCACTGAGAACTCTCTCTGAGAAAATTAGAGCATATTTTTTTTACGTTTCTTAATAATGGCACCTAAGCAAAAAGAGACATCGATAGCTTAGAGGAAAATTTTCCTGCATTTGCGCGATCAAGTCAAATTTTTGCATAAACTGGAGAGATAATGGAAAGAAACCGATTTTCTATTCGTAGCTACGTGCAGGGCTCCAAGGAAGCCCGCAATTTGCTAAGTTCATAAACATACAGGTCGCCTTAAGATGTTGAACAGCCATGAATGCAGGAAAATGGTTCGAAAGGTGCAAGTGAATCCCAAAATAACATCTATACAGATTGCTGCTGAAGTTACAAAAGAAATGGGGAAGGATATGCACCCAATTACGATACAAAGAGTACTACACAAGGCCAAATACAAAGTGTATGTGGCTAGACGAAACCCGTGCATCAAAGGTGCTTATAAAAAGAAGCGTTTGGACTACGCTAAGGAAAATTTTAGCAAGCCATCTGATTATGAAGTCAAGTCTTCTTTGATGAGAGGAAATTCAATATATTTCGTTCGCATGGCGTTAAACTGGTTAGAGAATGCCGAATACTTCGTTTCACAAAAACAATATTACGCCAAGCGTTAAGCATGGTGGTTGCGGGGTGATGGTCTAGGGTTGCATATCTGCTGCAGGTGTGCAGACAAACATTTGTATCTAAATATTTTGAGTGAATTTTTAAAAAAATTCTGAAAAGCTACAACTACCAAGCTCGTTCACATTTCAACATGACAATGACTCCAAGCATTCTCCCCATATCGTCAAAATATGGCTACCGCCCATGTGTTACCGCACCCACCACTATCTCCAGACCTATATAGAATTGAACACTTGTGGAAAGAATTGGATAGGCGCATCTCTAATCGGGTAATAACAAAACAAACCGACCTAAAACAAGCTCTTATTGAGGAATGGCAAAAAATTAGTGAAAACGTCACTCAAAAATAATTTTTTTCGATGCCAAACCTATTATTAGCCATTATTAAAGTTTAAAGGATACATACCCAATGTTAATTATAGCTATTATCAAATTGTTTCATAACATTTTTATGTTTTTTTTTCCATTTTTTTATACCCTGAACCCATTGAAAATGGGAAATCAGGGTATAATGGTTTTGTGAAAAGTATGTAACAGGCAGAAGGAATCATCGCAGACCACATAGTGTATATATATTCTTGATCAGCACGACGAGCTGAGTCGATAAAGCCCTGTCCGTCCGTCCGTCCGAAATTTGGCATGCATACTCGTGTATACCATAGGCAGTACAAGTTTATCATATTTTTTCGATAACTCATCCGATAACTTTTTTATCGAGAATAATCGAAAAATCGACTTGGTTTTTTTCAGCCTAGTTTGAACACTTTTAAACCTGGAGACTTCAAATTTGCGTTGTATATAAAGTTAATAGATACAAAGATTTTGTTATTTACAGATTTTAGATACCACGCCTCCTTCGCCCCCAATTTGTAAAAAATTTTCAAGTACTAGAGACTTGTGCTTTGGAATGTATACACAGTTTAACCATATGATTATGCTCTGAAAGTTTCATTAAGATTGTATGTCTACAAAAGAAATTCAACAAATAAATTGTCATAATATTGCCCACATTGCAGCGCAGCCCAAGCGCAGTCGCTGCTTACTGCGCAGTTAGTAGAGCGCGTGCTTATAAGTGCATGTGTATGTATGTGTGCATAGAAGAAGTGCAGAATGATTAGAATATCAGCTTGGAGGGTTCAGGGTATCTCCTAGTCGAGCAGTCTCGACTGGAGCCTTCTTACTTGTTTTTTGTGTGCGAATAATTTTGTTCTGCAAAATTGAGTTTTATTTTTGGTTACTGAATTAAAAAAAAACAAGTAAGAAAGCTCTAGTCGAGACTACTCGACTACGAGATCCCCTGAACCCTTGGAGTAATAGCTATTTCAATAATTTTTCGCGTCTTTCAGCTTACACAAGAAACACGCACACACACACACACACATATACACACACAAGCATAAACACGCATGGGCGGCAGTGAGCGCTTACTATGAGAACTTAATTACTTAATAACTTTTTTGTGGACGTACGATCTTCATGAAACTTTCAGATTATGATTATGACATGGATATGCATGTAATTGCCAAAGCACAAGTCTCTAGTATTTGAAATACGCTTTTTACAAAAGTGTGGGTGAGGGGGTGAATTTAAGGGTGGGGGGTAAATTTTAACAAAAACCGAAATTGTATAAATTCCATACAGGCATACATTAAAAATTTCGAGACTCTAGCAATAAAGGTGTAAAAGATATAATTTTATAACTGGTTTTCGATAAGGTTTTTTATCGATAAAAAAAGATCGGGATGAGTTATCGATTTTTAATGATAAACTTGATATGCGCGCTGTAATTACGAACATTTTAAAAAAAATTTGAAGTCTCTATCTCTTATATCTTCTGAAATCAACGCGTTCATACATACGGACAGACGGACAGACGGACAGACGGACAGACGGACGGACGGACAGACGGACAGACAGACGGACAGGGCCAAATCAACTCAGCTCGTCGCCCTGATCAAGAATATATATACTTTGTGGGGTCTGCCACGCCTCCTTCTGCCTGTTACATACATTTCAACAAAACCATTATACCCTGATTTCCCATTGAAAATGGGTTCAGGGTATAAAAAAAAGTACATTGATGTTTTTTGCAATATTTTTACTGTATAATTTTATAAATACCCAATTCTATTTAGTAAATTTTTTGTTTCACTAGAAAAACGTTAAAAAACAATCATAAAATTGCTTTCAAGTTTAAAAAGCTTGCTGTGCCAATAATTTAGTTCGTCATTGTAGCTTGGATATAGCAAGTAACCATAAAGAAGTACCGCTATTATTTTGCTTCGTATGTAGCTCCGAATTTTTTCGTTTAGTTTGTTTTTGCTTATGATTTTTTTTCTTCAGCTTAAAACGATAAAGTACAGAAAAAGACAAACTTCGTGGCTTTTGCGTCTCGTTTCATTAATTTTGAAGCAATTTTATGGGTCGAGTATACTTATGCACTAGTAGTTACGTATGTATTAAGAAAGCGTACGAAGATTGGACTACCAGGGCTTCAAAAGCTAATCATGTCATGTCATGTCAATTGAATTAAAAATTTGTCTCCTCAGTATTCCTTCCAACCCTTTATCCTTTGTAAAAGGTCGAAAAGTTTTATTTATAGAATTGTAAGAAGAAGATGTAATACTTAGACTTGAGGATTTTTTGGTAACACCGTATATGCATCGTGTATATCGAGTTTGTTTCCGAAATTCGATAAACATTTCCGTTATCTTTATGTATGTGCATGTGTATAAGTGCTGTTTCTTGTGTCAGCATAACATAATGGAAATACTAGTTGCTTGATAGGTTCAGGGGATAATATCCTATTAATTAAAACGTATTTAGAGTGTTGCCAAATCTACTTTTTTCCCGTCAAATCTGGCCTTTTTGAAAATCCAATTGCGGGAAAAATTAAAAAAACAGCGAGCAGCGGGAATTATGGATTTTTTTTTAATAATTTGCTTTTTTCTTTCAATTTATCATAATTTGTAGCGATTAATCGTACATATGTAGACGTGTTTGTCATTGCAGTTGAATTAAAACTAAATAGTTCATTAGGTCAATTTTCTATTAATGAACAAATCGATAATAACTAAACTTAAATATGGTTTATATTTTATTCAATATAATATCGAACTTCTTGATGCTGCGTAATTAAAAAGTACAAATTCTCTAACAGAGCTTATAACTCATTTGATAGCATGTAGTACAAAAATTTATTTGTTAACTAAATACGTTTTTATTAATAGGTTGCCGGCAAATTTTCAAATAGTGAAACAAATTTATTTGTTTTCTTGCAAATGTATATATTTTGCGAGTAAACAAAAAAAGTATCGTTCTAATACTACAGTTATTATATTCAAAGGACATTGAAAGTATTAAACACGAATATAAGAATATTCACCCAATTCAGTGGGGAAATTCTTAATACTCTACATAGAGGTGTGCTTATAAATATTCGGGAGGAAATAAAAAAGGTAGGGATTTGGCCACTTTTGCAATGGCATTGCTTTCCATGGCAAGTGGTAAGAAGTTTTAGTCAGGTCAGGAAATGAATATTGATATGCACTAAATTTTAAGCGTCAGGTAAAACATACATATTGTAAAACTACAGATACGGCTTGCCACGGTTGAAGAATTCCTGCCATGACTTCTAGTTACTAAAAATATATTTAAATATCAATCAAATCAAAGCAAAAACCATAAGCTTTTTTGTCCGATTTTTTAAAACAAAATTTCAGTTTTTTTTTTAAGTATCTTTCCACTAAAAACAGTTATTCTTTTGCTCAACAAAAGTTGGCAACACTGGGGGATATCGTAGTAGAGCTAGAGGCTTCTTATTTGTTATTGGAATATGAGAAAATTGGGATCTACCAAAGCTATTGATTATATATAGTATAGTATAGTTGAGGACAACCAATGTTTTATCAATTTTTTAATCCTTACAACTGTAAGTATTAACTATGAGTATTAATTTATAAATACGTTTTCTTTCATTCTTCCAGAAATGCCTGCCTCTTCGTTGTGTGATGCACACAATACTTCTGCGTAAGTTGTTTTTAAAATATTAAATGTGCTACGGAGAATATGTATGTATATTTTGCCATTCAATACTGTGAATACTCTGACACGAATACTCTACCATTATTATGAAATCTCTCTGCCAGAAATACTCTACTATCTTCCCACTACTTCATAAACATATCATTTTTAGTCAGTTTTGAGAAGTGGTGACGTAACGCTCTTTTCGTCATATATTTTAGGTTGTCAGCTCAAGTATATATACAAAATTTTAATGTTCTACAAATATTGCATATTTAACAAAACACTATATATTCAGATCCGATTTTTAAAGTCCAGGGGTGCCAAATTTCATCGTTTTAGCTTTTAAACTGTACAAGGTACATTTTTAGTTCCCTAATAGGACTTCTGAGATACCGAATAAACATTTTCTTATGGACAGCAAGAAGGACATTGCCTAAAACCAATATACAATCTTTTTATACTCATTCACGAAAGTGAATCAGTATATTGGTTTTGTGCAATGTCCGTCTTGCTGTCCGTCCGTCTGTCCGTCTGTCCGTCCGTCCGTCTGTCCGTCTGTCCGTATGAACGCAATCTATTTCGGCGCTATTGAAGCTAGAGACTTGAAATTTGGAACACATACTCGTGTATATCTCCGATTTATAAAGTGTTAAAATTTTCCTGATCCGCCCACTAGGGGCGTGGCAAATCGGAAAATGCATTTTCCGATATACCAGAAATCATGTTTGTTGAAGAGCTAAAAGCTGAAATTTGGTATGTAGGTCCGCGTTGACCACCCAAGATCACGAGCTATGGCGGATATATCTACGCCCATTGGGGGCGTGGCAAATCGGACCTGAAGATATAGTGATTTTTTAAATTCTCCTATATTTTGGACACTATTGATGGCAGAGACCTCAAATTTTGTATATATACTCGGACTGATCACCCAAAACCAAAAAGTTTTGTCGGATATATGTCCGCCCACAGGGGGCGTGGCAAACCGCAAAAGTTTATATCTCCTAAAGTATAATAGCTAGAAGCTTCAAATTTAGATAGTTGAGTTACTGGTAGCCTCCTCTATCGATTCCCCAAAAAAAATTTTTACGCCTCTTTAGGGGCGTGGCATATCGATAAATACCCTGTAATTTTCACATTTTTTGAGGGTAAGCATTCAAACTTTGCAGTAAGGGTACCGTTATCTCTTTCTAAAAACTGACCAAAAATGATGTGTCTACGCCCAGTTGGGGCGTGGCAAATCGGAAAAACCTGTATATTCTACAGTATTAGAGCGAAACTTAACTACTAAATTGTTGATGGGATGTGAATGAGTATTCCGCAGTCGGTAACGCCCGACTGCAACGTTCTTACTTGTTTTCTTTTGGGACTGTGTAGTGAGTATTTATGACTCAGAGTATATTTCATATATAAACATAAAATTATTGTTAGTCAATTGAATGGATATTGTAAAATAACAAGAATCATATTTTTTGCATCTTATAGTGAAATTAATTACATAAATCAGGATGACTGGGTTACAAGTGGAAAAATTGGGTCACGTGATGCGGTATTGGTTTTTCGCACTAATATACTTAATCCAAAAACTAGAAAAACTTTAAAGGAAGCTAAGTCGATACAAATGGACCTTCAAGATCAAGAAATTAAGTCTACTTCGAGCAATATGATTCTTAAGCAAACATTATCGCCTACAGTAAGCAAAAGTCCTTTAAGCAATGCAGCACTAGGAAAGACGTATGTGTCAGTTGAAAAGTTGCCAATTTGCGGAGATCAGCAAAATCAACATAAAAAAACGCGTAATTTATTTTCTTCATGTGATACTTCGGTTTTAAGTGATGCAAATGAAAAAACGCAGTATAATGAAAAAAAACCTAAAACAAAACAAAAAGAAAATGATTCAGTTGTCGAATCAGAATCTGATTTAAATAAGGAAAGTGGCTATGATTCTGTAACGACTTCTCAATCCAATACTGACAGTAACACTAGTGAGGAAGATCAAGAAGTATCTAGTGAGGAAGATAATGATTGTGGAGTAAATATGCCTGCACACCACTTACAAATTACATATAAATTTATTCAAACAGAAACAAAATTATTGAGAAAGATATTCAATGTTCATGGCTTAACTGAAGTTCAGAGCGAAACAGACTTCAATTTATTGTGGACAGGAGTCCATATGAAACTAGACACCTTACGAAACTTAGCGCTGTATCAACGAGTTAACCATTTTCCAAGGTAAGCAGAGAAGTACTACAACATTTTAGTTACCTGTATCATTAAAAAAAAAAAAAACAAAAGAAAGGAAATCAACACACATAAATATTTTTATACCAAGAGCCCATTGATATAGGAAAATATTTGATATCATAATAAAATATGAGTACATTTAATTTCGCAATCTCATAATTCAAAAGCTAGATTGGATATTTTAATGTATATTATTGCATGCCGAGTTCGAGTTCACGTACTGACTATTTATTCACATGATTGTCACGCTCAATAAATCGATAAAGTTAGTCCATCAAGTTATTATTATTATTATTTTTTCATAAACAGAGCGTATGCATATTTTATTTTACTTATAAATTTTTTGCTGTATATGCATAAGATAATATCTGCTAGCCGGCGATTTCTGACTTAAATATTAAAGCGATGTCTCTAGCTAAAAGTATAAAATCATATTATATATAAGGGAACTTTAAATCAATCACCGTAACGATTATACTTTTTATAAAAAAAAAAAAAAAAAAAAAAAACAAGTAAGAAAGCTCTAGTCGAGACTGCCCGACTACGAGATCCCCTGAACCCTTCGAGCAATAGCTGTTTCAATCATTTTTCGTGTCTTTCTGCTTACGCAAGATACACACACGCACATACACACATATACACACACGCATACAAAAAGAGATTCGCACGCACGCATGCATTGGCTGCAGTGGTGGCTTACTATAGGAACCTAATTGTTCAATAACTTTTCTTGTGGATGTACTTCCTTCATGAAACTTTCGGATTATGATTACAGATAAGATTATAAGCACAAGTCCCTAGTATTTGAAATACGGCTTTTACAAAAGTAAGGGTGAGGGGGTGAATTGGGGATGGGGGGTAAATTTTGAGAAAAACCGACATTGTATAAAATGCATATAAGTATACCTAAATAAATTTGGGTTTCGATAACCTTTTTAATCGATAAAAATAACGGGGCAATTTATCGATATTTAAAGCAAAACTCGATATGCGCGTGCTATACACGGACCTAGGAAAAATTTCAAGTCTCTAGCTCTTATATCTCCTGAGATCGACGCGTTCAAACATACGGACAGACGGACAGAGCTAAATCGACTCAGCTCGTCGCCCTGATCGAGAATATATATACTTAATGGGGTCTGCCACGCCTCCTTCTGCCTGTTACATACATTTAACAAAACCATTATACCCTGATTTCTCATTGAAAATGGGTTCAGGGTATAAAAAGTAAAAACGTTGCAGTCGCGCGCTATCGATTTCTGATTTGTAACTTAACTTAATCTAGCTCTTAAACTGTAGGAAATATAAACTTTGACGTTTTGTCACGCCCCAACTGGGCGAAGATATATTCGCCGTAACCTTTTGGTCTTGGGTTGCCAACCCGAATATATATTCAAAATTTCAGGTCTCATGTATAATATATAACAGAATTTGAAAAATCACTACACCTTCGGATCCGATTTGAGCGTAGATATATATAGTCTTTATAGAGTCGTAGCATTAGCTCACATGCAAAATTGCAGCGTTCTAGCTTTTAAACTGTAAATGATACAGTTTTACCGGAATTGCAGCGCTCCCAATAGTAGATATATCCGCCATAGCTTTTTAGACTCATTCACGAAAGTGATATGAGTATATTGAATTTGTGCAATGTCCGTCTTGCTGTCCGTCCGTCTGTCCGTATGAACGCAATCTATATCGGTGCTATTGATGCTAGAGATCTGAAATTTGGTTTATATACGCGGGTTGACCACCCAAGTCCAACGAGCTAGGGTAGATATATGTCCGGGGCGTGGCAAACCGCAGTTTATGTCTCCTACAGTTTAAGAGCTAGAAGCTTCAAATTCAGTTGAGTTACTGGTAACCTCCTCTATCGATGCCCAAAAATAGTTTTTAAGCCTCTTTAGGGGCGTGGCACATTTTTTGAGCGTAAGAATTCAAATTTTGCATTTAGGTTACCGGTTGCTCGTTCAAAAAACTGGCCAAAAATGAGGAGTCTACGGCCACTAGGGGCGTGGCAATCGGCATTTATAGTGCCCATATTGCGGCATTTATATGCGTCAGCCATCTATTTATGTATTTGTACACATAAATAGGCTTAATAGGCATTGATAGCACGGAAGGAAACATTTTTATAAAATTAATAAAATATAAAAAAGCTAAAATAACAAAAAAATTTTCAATTTACTAAAAAGAGTTTTCCGCGGGATTTGAACTCGCACCCAAGCCGAATAGCATGTTCATGTCAAAATATCTAAAATAAAGATCGCCGGCGCCTCAGCCTACAGCACCACCGCGTCGTTTTGATCAACAGTAGTTAAAACGAAATCAGATTATTGTTATGACGCCACATATCAAAGAAAAGCCATTGTAGCGGCTGGAAATTCAAAAACAATGCAAAGACAAATCAATCGCAACGAGATTCTTAGAATATGCTAGAGTACGCATTTATGTGTACATACATACACACATACAAATGAGCGCGTGTATAAGGCTGGAATGCTTGATGCTATGCGTGCAGACTTACATATACATATATACATATGTATGTATTTGCGTATATGTATTTGAGCGCTATTTAAGAAGAAACAAATTTAAACTTATAAAATTATTCGACTAAGAAAAAGAAAAGTATTAAGTGTCATTTATTCAAGCTCGCACCTTCCCAATAAAATATCTATTTTATAAAAAACCAAGTATATATGAAAAAAAAGAAAAATAACATCGTCGAAAAGGTTTCGAACCTCCCCTACTCTCACATAACTTGCGTCGCCCTTAGCACCCGCGCCACTGCTTTGCTTGACCAGCCAGTTGCTAAAATAGAATAGCTTAATAAGAGAGCGTCATCAAAACTACTACAGACAAAACTACAGTAACGGCTAGAAAGTTCAGAAATCAGTCGAAATTTTAAGAATGTGAGAAAAGGTGCGCTTCTGTCTGTACGCATAAAATAGACGATGAGTGTGTGCACATGTATAGGACAATCGCGCTGATCTGCTGCTAGCTTGAAGCCGGTATCCAATATATGGATATAAATATATAATAAAAATCAAAATTGTATAAATTATATATGTATTTAATTTGAATGTAATGATGCAATGATCATAGCAATAGCTATCGATGATTTTCCAATTTTAATGGGATCATGCCCTGTTTTTTGTTGCGCACTAGACTTGAAAATTGCACTATATACTCTGGTTGACAGCGTTTGGGCTGTGAATGAGTCTTCTGCAATCGGTATCGCCCGACTGCAACGTTCTTACTTGTTGATATTGGGTAGTCGACGCGGATTTACTTTTCGAATTTTAGCTTTCTAGCTCTTCAACTAATATAATTTGTTTCAAATCGGAGCATCCGTTTTCCAATTTGCCACTCCCTTAGTGGGCGGATCAGGACAAATTTTAACTCTTCATAAATTAATGAAATACACGGATATATGTGTCGAATTTCAAAGTATTAGTCTCTAGCTACCGAAGAAGAAATTTTTTGAAATAAAAAATTAATATTCTTAAGGATTACAATTGAGTTAAATGAAAAAAAAAAAAAAAATAAATATTCCTTATACATTTTGTATAAATTTAAATCATAACCAACATTGAAATTCTATAAAATACATATGAAGCTTCATTTAAAATTTGGCGATTCTAGCTCCAAAGATGTAGCAGATAAAAATTTATTGCTGATTTTTCGATATTATTTTAATCGATAACAAAATAAAGATGAACGATTTTTGGAGGTTTACGATATCCGGGCTATATATACGGGCAATTAAAATAAAAATGTAAAGTCTCTAGCTCTTATATCCTCTGATATCGACGCGTTCATGGGTCACGCATCTTTCTGCCTGTTACATACATTTCAACAAAACCATTATAAGTTGATTTTACATTTTCAATGGGGTTAAGCACTAACCATAGAACCGGATACGTAGTGTAAAGCGTTTTGCACACTTTTTTTTAGAGCGTTGCGTCCTACACAACTTCGTATTTGCTCGGCTCCTAACTTTTTGAGTTCGGGCTACGAAAATATCCAAAAGCACGATCATTTCGCTTCATGTGCTCGACCGACATAACCAAATTTTGAACAAAAAATGCCACTATGCTCAATATTTCACTTGCTCTCTCTCTCTCTCTCTCTCTCTCTCTCTCTCTCGATGTTCTCTGCTCTCTCAAATGTGTATATGTATGTATGCAGCAGCTCACTAAAATTGAAATTTTTTCCAAGCAAGAATCCATGCCTTCCCTTCTGTGTGAAGAGTATACCGAACTTTTCAAACCCTTTGCCAAGCTTCTACAAAATATTTGCGTTTTCGTTATTATTTGTGGGAAGGGTATGAAAGCGGTGGTGCTCATAATGAAAATGCTTACGCGACGAGCGTGCACGCACACACTTTTCTTTGCTACATGTATTATGAGCATTTGTATGCCTGTGTGCGAGGCTCTCGCTGCCTGATCTTGTGGAGGGCTTACACTTCCATACATATGTATGTTCGATTGTGTGTACGCAGGGGGTTTTGCTATGAATGGCTTCTGGTCGAAAATTTTCAAAAATGGTCGAATATTTCAAAATGAAGTTTTATGAGCTCATAAAAATGGTCAGAAGTGGCTTTCAACTTAAGATATTGGTTAATATAATGGAAGTTTTTATTGAGTATCAAATACTCTGATGAACATTGCATTTCATCTGATGGTATTAAAAGATTTAAAAGAGTGCGTGATATAAAACTGATGGGACGGGATTCTTGTCCCAGCACCGCTCCAATTGCATAATTAGAGGCGTCGGTTGTCAAATGGAACTCTTTGTTAAAAGTTGGGTAAGATAGAACTACGTCTCCTGAGACTAAAGCTCTTTTGTCTTTGTTAAAGGAATCTGTTGTGTCCTGGTCTAGCGTTATGATTGTCTTATTGGAGATATTTTTGGAAAAATGTCCGTTTTCGCCCCTTAATAGGTTAGTTAGTCGCGAATAAACCTTCTACAGTAGCTAGCAA